AAAAAAAAAAAAAAAAAAGCCACTTCCAAGCTGGCACACTCATAGCCCCAGCCCTCTGCACTCCACTCAGCCTCAGCAACTTAGTGAAACTGCATCTCCAAATCTTAAAAAGTGGCGACAAAGTCAGCCAGTATGAAGGCCCCAGGTTCAAGCACCCAGGACTACAGAAGAAGAAAGTCGCTTCCCTGCCTCTCCATGGCAGTCCCGAAGGACAAGGACACACAGGCAGGGGAAGAGAAGGTCCATCCCAAAGCCTCCTGCCCACGTTACCTGAATGGATACCCCGAAGTTATTTCCATCTTCTATCCTGGGAATCAGGAGCTGTACCCACATTTTGACCTGGATGGTGAGAAGACCAAGTGCACACAGGAGGGCTTCAGCCTTTTCTTTGATTTAGAACCACAACACATGCTGCTGGAGGCGCCCGCCAGGGGCCAGCCTGCGCCCGAGTCCCAACCCCCCGAGGCCCCTCGCACCGTGTTGCACTTCTCGATCAGCAGCCGGATCTCGGGCTTCACCTTCTCGATGATGTCCACCAGCTGCTGGTTGCTCTTTAGCATCCCATGCGGCATCACGAACACCTTGGTTCCTGGCAGGACGAGAGGGCCGGCATCAGGGTGCACGGGAAGTCTCGCTGTGGATGCCTTCCCTGCCCGTGAGCTGCTGGGCCCTGGCCGTTCTGGGTGTCCTGCCGCAACACCACTAACACAATCCATGCGAGATGTGCGCATCCAAAGATGAACAGCTGATGGGCCGTGAGTCTGCAGAGCACAGAACACCTCTATTCTGTGGTACTGGAGACTGAATCCAGAACCTTCACACTCAGCAACATCCCTAACCCTTTGTTTTTTGAGAGAGGGTCTCTGCCCAGGCAACACTTAAAATTTGTGATCTTCCTGCCTCCGCCTCCCAGAATACTGGGATTATACAGGCTTGTGCCACCATGTCCACAAATAACATTAAAAGGGGAGGCCGACACATGCCTGTATCCCAGAACTTGGGGGGGCTGAAGCAGGAGGATCATTTTGAGTCCGAGGCCCACATAGGCTATAAAGTGAACTCAAGGCCACCTCCTGTTTAAAAACGAGGAAAAAATTAAAAAGGGGAAAGAAAAGAAACATGGAATTAGGACTTCCATGAGAAATCCGAGCTGTACAGCTTCCAACTCCAGTCATGCCTCCCTGGCAATTACACCAAGTCCTAAATTCTGTTCTTGGAAGAATCAGTTTAGACAGCTAGAGAATAACCGCAGCTGAAGGGCCTGGAGGTCCCGGGGCTGGACACTCCACTCAGTGTCCTCCCTCACCCAGAGGCCCCAGACTCTGCCTGCCTCTCGGGCCCGCTGGCCACCAAGGAGGCTCAGGTGAGCTGGGACCTTACCTTGCAAGGCCTCTTCACACTCATCCAACTTCCGCTTCTTGTAAGTGGGCTACAGCACAAAGAGGCAGGAGTTAGCCGGCCCTAGGCCTCCACACGTCCATCCAAAGCCCTCAAACAAGCCTCTTCCCTTCCTTGACCCCACGGGCTGGGTTATTGGTTTCTTTTTCTTTCTTGTACTCAGGACCTTGCACTTGCCAAGCAGGCGCTGCGCTGCTGAGTTATATCCCTGGCTCCTGTCTTACTGGTTTCTGTACAATTTCCCGAACAGCTTTTAAGAAGCTCTTGCCAAAAAAGCAACTTGCATTGTGTTAAAATCCTGAACTTGCAAAAAGATGACACAGTTAAAGCAATCAAGGTCATAACACTGTAAAGAACACAAGAAAGCAATCAAGGCAGGTTGAGAATAATTAAAGGAGCATGTACAGTCTGCTAGTTCTATAAATGAACACAACACTCAATCAACACACATGCAATCAACACTGCCACACAGCAGGAACAAAGCCAGGGGTTAAAGATGCGAAGATATTCAGCAAGACTGCTCCTGCCTCCAGATGCGCATGGCTGATGCAGAGCGCAGTCCAGTTCCACACATGTGATAAGACCTTTCAGACACATGACTGATAAAGACAAGACTCAGAGGAACTGGAGGAAAGACAGGGAGAATCACACAGCTAGAGTGCCTCCTGCTGCAACAGGACTCAAGGGGTAAGAAAGGCCTGGTTCAGAGCAGGGCACTTGAGGAAGTTTAGTTGTGCTTGAAACTCACTCTCCGCCACACAGAGCAGCATTAACACACCCACCTCGCGCTATAAATGGACACCACTGGGGTCATCTTGACTACAACACTCCTGGTCTAGACTCCACTGTCTTCAAAGTTAGCGAGAAGTGGAGGGCCAAAAACCTACTGCTTAAGAATGCAGCAGGGATGAACAGAGGACACTTACACCGTCCAGCCCGTCGTGGCTATTAGTGAGAAGGATGGGGTCAGGGACCGGGAGATTCATGTCGGAGTGGATCTGGGTCAGGTCATGGATGTTCAGGATGGGTTCCTGAAAGAGACCCCGCCCCCAAAACACCATCAGTCTTTTCAAACTAAACAAAGAAGTATTTCACTTAAAAACCAAGAAATTAGAGTGCCCTAGAGTACACAACAAAACAGAACGCAATTTGCTCCATTTCTCAGAAAGACTAGGGCCAAAAAATGGGAAATTTAAGGAAAAAAAAGTGTCTCACCTTCAAAAAACTATCAAGTTCTAACAACTTCTTTGGGAAAAAGTTCGCCACCAAGTCTTCTGCCTAGGTAAGAGGAGATACACTCCAATTAGAACCCAGGAGAGGGCCTCTCTCCAACATCTCCTCTCTGGGGAGCTCCCTGCTAACCACCACGCGCGCTTTCCTGCTTCACTCACCTCACTTGTGATCCGCTCCCTGAAAGAATCAACCTGAAGCAACAAGGACAGAGATTCAGGGAGAGCAATTCAGTATTTGGCGGCACAGGCAAGGGCAGGGCTGGGAATCCCACATCCAGCTGACTTTCCCTCACCTTGAAGTTACAATGAGAAGCTGAGAGGCCCCCAGACTGTAAATATTTTCTCTTTTTGAGGACCCATTTCTCCATCTCCGGAGGGGCAAACCGCCTCCTCTGCCCGCTCCCCTTCCTCCCGCCCTCCCTGCGTCTGGAGCTAAGGGAATCTGTTAAGCAGACAAAAGACAGCTATGCAGCAGGGCGTGAGCTCACAAATGCTGCACTCTGCCAGCCCAGGCCCGCGACGAGACGGGCCGGCCCCAAGAGCAGGGTCGGGCAGCGCCCGGGGCGGGACCCGGACAGCGCCGGGAGGGGAGGGCCGCCCGCAGCCGCGCGCCGAGCACGTGTCCGCGGGGCCCGGCCGGCTCTGCGCCCCGACGGCCCGACGTCTCCCTCGCTCCTCCCGACCCGCGCAGCCGAAGTCGGGCGGGGGCTGGGCCGCGCCGCACGGAGACGCGGAGCCTGGGTCCCCAAGGAGACAAAGACGCTGCGGGGCGCGGGGGACCGGCCGGCGGCCCGGGGTTCGAGGCGAGGGGTGAGGAGGCCCGGACCGGCGCCGCTACCTTGAGCTTCACTTCCTGATCCACCTTCAGCAACGAGGCCATGGCCGGGCCGGGCCGTGTCCGTTCCGCGGGAGACCGGAGGCGCTGAGGGCTCCGGGGCGGGGGCCGGAGGGACCTGAGGAGTCTCCGCTGCCCTCGGGACCCGGCCGCCCTCGCTGGCTCTCTGGCCGCTCGCTCGCTCGCTCCCTCCGTGCCGGCGCCCGCCGCCGCCGCCGCCGCCGCCGCTCGCTGCCTACTCGCCCCGCTGCTCGCCCTCCCGGCTTTCGCCGCTCACGCCGGAAGCGCGTCACAGGTCGTCGCCCGAAGTCCGCGCGGCGGCGCGCGTGGGCCGCGCAGGCGCGCTGCGGCTCCGGCCGGCCGGGCCTTGTTCGCGGGCCCCAGCGTGGGGAACCGGCGAGGGGAAGGCGGGGGCGCTGAGGGCCAGGGCGGACTGAGGAGAGGGTTCTCGAGAGACGCAGGGACGGCGGGAGCCTGCGTTGGCCCCGAACTCGCTTCGGCAGACGCCTGCCCGCAGCCGCCCTCAGGACGACCCCGTCGCGCCCCAGTGACGTAAGAGGAAGCAGGTGGCCGGACCGCGTTTGGGTCCCTCTGCGGGTCCCGCGCCCCTCCCGGGTGCCGCCGAGCGCTGAGGCTAAAGCCGCACACACGCGTTCCGTGGAGCCCGTCCCCGCCGCAGGCCCGGAGGCCAACAGCCTGACGGGCAGGTGGAAGCCCCGACGAGGGCCGGCCGGCCCAAGGCGACGCGCTGTGGACAGCGAGTCTGGACCGGAACCAGGGCTGAGTCCATTTCCTCGTGGAAGCCTGAGGCCGCGTCTGCGCCCACCAGCACCCTCGGTGCATCTTTTTACCGTTGGCCCTGTACTTCCTAAAACGGGCCAGAATCCTGTAGGGTGCCAAGCTCTGTGATGGGTTAGAGCCTTCTAGTAATCACATTTTTAAAAGAAAATGAGAGAAGAGGAAATTAACTTTAACCATATGTTAACTCCAGTTCGTCCAGCCAGCCCTCTGTGTCCTGAGTCCACAGGATCCAGACAGCAGCCCTGGAAAACTCCGATTGCTCATGTGCAGACTTTACAGTGTTATTCCCTAAACAATGCACTATAACGACTCCTTCCATACCTTTCTCGTTGTATTGGGTAGTATGAATCTCCCAGAACACCATGGGAGGACTGTACTATCATTTCAACATGTAATCTATATAAGAAATTTCAGACACGTGGTGGTACATGCCTGTAATCCAAGCACTCAGGAGGCTGAGGCAGGAGAATCGCCACAAGTGAGGCCACCTTGGACTATACAGTGACTTCATGGCTGGCCTGGATTACATAGCAAGACTTTGTCTCAAAAAAAAAAAGTTTTTTATGTTCTCTCAAATCTTCAGCACTTGGTGCTCTTTGTTAACCTCACATCTCCGTGTGGCACTGTCACATTTATGATCTTCAATAGCTAGCTGTGGCCCAGCTCTGGGAAATAAAAGGCAAACAGAAGTCTAAAAGTCCGTGGTCTGTTAGGGTCTTGTGCCAGACACACCAGAGTGAACTCACATCATTGCAAATTTTGATTAATGTTAGGAAATAAACAGCTGGCAAACTATCAGGGGACTCTTGGATAGAATGGCCTGAAGACCTCTGATTGACAGCTGAGAGCTAAAGGCCACAAAGGGATGGGCTTGGGGAGCTGAGCCTTCAGAACACAGCAAATACATGTCCTAGGGCAAAGAGAAGTTCAGCTGAAGAAAGCCACAGGCTAGTGGGGGTTAGAATCAATGCAGAAATCCAGCATCAGGTTTCCTCCGTGCTAGGTGAGATGCGGGGAATATGTAGTTAAAACGCAGTTGGTGGCACATGCCTCGAATCTCAACACTCAGAGGAGGCTGAGACAGGAGTATTTCTGTGAGTTCAAGGCCAGCCTGAACTATATAGTGAGAGTGTCTCCAAAACAAAAAAGCTGAGGAGATGGCTCAGTAGAATAAGTGCTTGCCTGGCAAGTGCAAGGTCCTGAGTTCAATCCCTGGTAAAATAAATAAATAAATAAATAAATAAATTACTCTAAAATCAAAGCTGTATTGAGATAGCAGCACCTTATCTCAAGCCAATTACTGCAATGCTGAGTCTCAACTACAAAATGGAATTTTAATAATTATTAATAAGTTATCCATACATAATTTTTTTCTTATCCATACACAATTTTGTAGAGTTGGTGTAGCTGTTGGAAAAAGATAATATAGATCTGGGTGTGGTGATGCACACCTGTATTCTCAGCACTCAGGAGGCTGAGGCAGGAGGATCATTGTGAGTTCAAGACCAGCCTGGGCTACAAAGTGAGCGCAAGGCCAGCCTGAAGTGCACAGGGAGGCCCTGTCTCAAAAGGACAAGAAAGATATCTGTGGAAGAACAAGCCAGCAGATCCACAGTGGCCATTGTTAGATAATCTCTTTGTGCAGTGCTTGGCAAGAACAAGACCCTCCCCCCCCCAAAAAAAAAGAAAAAAAAACCAAGACCCCCAACTGTAGCAGTTATGGTCGCTCCAGGCAGCTCAGCTCAAAAGAAAGTTGCTGTCTCCCACTTCTGGTGGCCAGCAGTTTAAAGCAAGCCGCCGCAGGACCGTGCTCCTTGGGCTCCCGGCAGGAAGCTGCTGTAGCCCAGTCCCAGTTCCGGGAGCTTCCAGGGCGTCCTGGCTTGGAAATGGCAGCGAGCCTCTCCTCATCACCTTCCTTTGTGTGTGCCTGTCTCCCTCCAGATTGCCCCTTGCGTGGTTGATACAGGGAGAAACACTGGTCTCGGGTGGGCGACCTCCAAATGATACAGGGAACCTCCAAATGACACGGGGAAAAATCATCTCCCGACCTGACCTGCACGAGCTTGTGTTCTCTAAAACCGAAGAATGAATCTTAGGAACAAACGGAGGTTAGGAGTAGAATATAGTTACTGAGGGAAAGAAAGCCCCTGTCTGAGAGAGGGACAGGAGGGGGCCTGAGCAGGTAGTTCCCCGGGAAGCTGTCTCTTCCAGGGACTTTTATAGTGTAAGACCACCCGGGGCTAAGGTGAGAGAGTGGGAACTCGCTTAGGCGGATGCAGGGTGGGACAAAACCATGGTCAAGCACTGGGATTACAAGCACCACTGGCCAGGTAAAATCGATTAGGCCCAGGACCAAATGGGGTAGTGAGTCACCTAGCAAGCGGGCATGAGTGTAAAACAGGACCTTATCTGGCGGCCTTCGGACAGTGGTTCTTCCTGAGTGAGGAGCAATCCTGGATGCCAGGCCTTAGGGAGGCCGGCCTTTGTCTGGCTCACAGCAGGAGCCGCGTCTGCCTCTGCTGTCTCCTTTGAGGGCCTGCCCCTGCCTGGCTGCCTACAGTCTTTCTGTCCCCTTTGGCTGCCTGCAGCATGTGGCGCCAGGTGTGGGGAGTGACATCCGGCTGACAGCTGGCTAAGCTGGCCTACTGCAGAGACTGATCCCAGACAAGGCCGCCCTCGACACCTTTGGGGCAGGAGGGGTCTATCCCGCCCCAGCGCCTGTGTGACCTGACACGACCTGCCCATCCACCATGTCTGTCACTAAATTCCCTCTTCGGGGACCGCAGCGGCGCGGCCCAGCAGCTCACGGAGGGCGCCTGCGGACCTCAGAATCCATCACGAGGATTCAGTGCTCCTTGTCCAGGTGCCCTCACACACTTGCCTAGATGGCTGTCCCCCTCCCACGGGATCACAGCGCATTTTCTCTGCCAGATAAGGGTCACCTTGCTTTCAGCCATTCATTTGTCTTAGTTACTCTTCCCTCGTTGCTGGGACAAAATACCTGACCTCCACACTCAAGGAGGAAAGGTTCCTTTAGCTCACAGTTAGTGGAGGTTTCATGCATACTCAGCTGGCTGAGAGGCAGGGGCGCAGAGGGCAGCTAGCAGCCTCTTTCCCCTTCTTACATTCCTATGCAGATTATCTGCCCAAGGCAGGCGTAGCCCTCACGCCCATAATCCCAGCATTGGGTCATGAATTAACCACACACTCTAGATGCTGCCCCCATGACTGCATGAGGCTTGGGGGGACACTTAGACACGAGCCATAACATCACCTCACCCTCACATGACCCTGTGTGACAGCAAGGACTGCGTGATATTCTCACAGAAGTGAGAAGATGAGGTGAGAGCTGACAAAGTTGCTCAAAGCCACAGAGTAGAGGCCGGGGAGATGGCTCAGTGGAATAAGCGCCTCCCTGACAAGCGCAAGGGCCTGAGTTCAATCCCCGGTTCCACCAAAAAAAAAAAAAAAAAAGCCACAGAGTTGATGTGTGGCAAACACAGGTGTGAAGCGGAGTGGTGGGACACCTGTGGGCCACATTTCCCTTGCTGGGACCCAATGCCAGACGCGAGCAGAGCGGGTGTGATTCCACCCAGCTTCACTAGAGGGCGCCTTGCACTGGAAGATCGCCTCGGAAGGAGACAACGTTCTAGCCATGCACGCAGCAATAGCGGGGGAAGTAGACCCACTTTCACGGGGCGCACCGGACCCCACAACAGGGGCTAGCATGCGTTTAAAACCGTAGGCATGGGCCGGGGAGATGGCTCAGTGGAATAAGCGCTTCCCTGGCAAGCGCAAGGACCTGAGTTCAATCCCTGTTGCGCCAAAAACAAACAACAACAAAAAAAAACCCATAGGGAATGCAGTTCTCAAAGTGGGGGTGATTCTCTAAGCAACATAAATCACCAAGAAAACGAGTTTTTTGTTTTTGTTTTTTTTGCAGAACCAGGGATTTAACTCAGGCCCTTGTGCTTTCCAGCCAAGTGCTTATTCTACTGAGCCATCTCCCCAGCACCTAACAAGTAGACTTTTTCTTTTCTTTTTCCTTTTTTTGAGACAGGGTCTCTCCTTATTTAGTTCAGTCTGGGCTTGAACTCACTATGTAGCCCAGACTGGCCTCAGACTCACAGCACTCCCCCTAGGTCAGCCTCCAAGTGCTGGGATTACAGGGGCGCATCACCACACCGGACCAAAAAGTACATTTGAATTCTTAAAACTGTAAAAATAAACCAAAAAATTGTACACATGAAAAAGACCTAAACTTGCTAAGCCATTTGTAAAGATTTATTAACATTTTTTGAGAAAACATTAGGGAGGCCTGGGGATATAGCTCAGCAGTTTAAGTGCCTGCCTGGCAGGCACAAGGCCCCAAGTTCGATCCCCAATACTACGAAGTATATAATAGATACATAAGTAAAGGATCCAAAGAACTCATCAAAGAGGAGCTGTAATAGGCAAACAGAGGCAAAATCACCAGCCTTCCCAGTATTGGGGATGACAGTTAAAACACCAGGGAGGGGCCGGGGAGATGGCTCAGTGGAATAAGCGCTTCCCTGGCAAGCGCAAGGGCCCGAGTTCAATCCCCGGTTCCACCAAAAAAACAAAAACAACAACAACAAAAAGAACACCAGGGAAGTGCCCTTTGTTTATGCTTTCATCCCTCAAACATGATCCACGGTTCTGGCCCAAGCTGCAAAAACAACTCCCTCCAACTCGACTGGAGATGGAATAGAATCATGAGCAACCACTCTGAAAACAACTGCCAATGTTAAGGCTGGGGAGATAGCCCAGTGGCTTAAGCACCTGCCGGGCAAACGCAGGGTCCCACGTTCAATCCCCGACATCACAAAAACAGAAAAGAAGAAACAATTGTCCATGTCAACCACAAGGCACAGAAAGGCCACGCTCTTCACTTGCTCCCCTCAGCGCTGAGCTATCGCAAGGAAGCGGCTGCCCTCCACTGGGGTGCTGCCATCGCCCGCGCTGGAAGCACTGGAAACCTTCAATAATAAAGAAACGCACGAGCGCCGCAGGCCTGTAACCCCAGCGCTTGGGAGGCTGAAAACAGCGGATCACTACGAGTCCGAGCTAGTAGTGAGACCCTGAACACCTTGCAGGCCCTTCCCTAAAATACAAGAAGGAGAAGGAGAAGGAGAAGGAGAAGGAGAAGGAGAAGGAGAAGGAGAAGGAGAAGGAGAAGAAATTCATGAAAGGAGCCTGTAATATCTACTACTCAGGAGCCTGAGGTGGGAGGATCTCATGTTCAAGGCCAGCGTGGGCAATCTAGTAAGACTTTGTCTCAAAATAAAATATAAAAAGGGCTGCGGGTGGAGCTCAGTGCTGAGCACCGCTGGCTTCAATCCCCAGTACCTAAAAAAAGGTAGAATATAGCCTGGTAGACATAGCGCAGTGATGGAGCATATGGTTAGCATGTGTGAGCCCTGAGTTGAATTCTAAGCACCAAAACAGAATGGGGCGGGGGCGAGACAGAACAGGAGCTGGGCGTGGTGCTACACCTGTAATCCTAGCACCCAGGGGGCTGAGGCTCACCGGGCGTGCAAGGCCAGCCAGGCTGGTGAGATCAGGTCTCAAGAAGCCAGGAAAGAACGAAAGAACAAAAGAGAGAGAGAAAGAAAGAGAGAGAGAAGGAAAGAAAAGAAA